GCTGAAAGGGCAGATCTGCTGGCACTAACAATGTCTCCTGCTGTGGAGAACACCCTCTCTCTAGGGACAGAGGTAGCAGATACAGCCAGGTAGCGCTTTGCTAACATGGCAACATAAGGATACTTGGCGTTTGTAATAGCTTTGGCTCGGTCTGAACTCTCTGCGAGTGGTGGAGGCTTACATGCTAGCGGGAGTTGGGATGCACTTCAGTCTTTTTTCTTTTGGTACCGGTGATATTCACGTTCGAGTGATGCCTTTTCAAGAGTGTGCAAGTTTGATGTATTGCCAGCCGCGTAACCAATTTTAGTTGAACAATGCCGACAAACAGCTTTGGTTCGGTCCACCTGTCTTTGTCCATCATCCTTGTTCGTAACTGCAAAACCAAAATGTTCCCAAACCGGAGACTTCAATGATGCTGGAGGATTTTCGAGCTCAACTTTATCTGCGTTCGTCATTAATTTTCGACAGTTCCTCAAATTACTGACTACATTTGAACGCATCCCTCTGACCCGCTCTCATAGTATGCCTCTCATCCAATGAAATGACCTGCTCGCTCTATGACGCGTTGAACCCAATGTGAGCAAATTACTCTGAATGCTGCGACGCAGCACCTGAGATTACTTCCAAAAAGTTGTTCACGTTCTCAATTTTTTACGTTTAACGTTATATTCGTTCGGTACACTTCGGTACACACCTGTACCGAACCGAAGGGCCCGTACCGAATAATTTCGGTACGGGTACGTGTACCGTTACACCCCTAGTTGATGGCTACATTGTTACCAAACCTGTGAAGTTTTGGGCTGTTTGGAGCATTTTCACTGAAGTTATGAGAAAACCGTGTTTCATGGCGAGCATTGTGCTGCCATGGCAACGGCATTTGAATAAATCTCAAAAGTGTCCCGTATATGTCTTCACGGCTGGACTGTTGGCACACGTGAAGTTTTAGCACTTTTTGACAATTTTCATAGGAGTTATAGCAATATCGTGTTTTATTGCAAGGGATACGCATCCCTTGCAATGGCAACAACTTTTGAGGAAAACTCACTAATGGCACATAGACATGTTGAGGGTTGGACCATTATCTGTCATCTAAAGTCTGGTGGTGTTTTGACCATTTCCATATCAGTTACGACAACATCGTGTTTTTTGGCGAGGGATGCGTTTCCATGGAAACGGCATATGATGACACCCCATAATTGACACAGAGCTGTTGAGGGCCGGACCATTAACCATTATCTGAAGTATGGTGCTGTTTTAGACCATTTGCATAGGTATCACAACAACATCGTGTTTTATGGCGAGGGATGGCAACATGGCATAGCAACAGCCTATGGTGAGATCTCAGATTTGGCGTAGAGCTGTTGAGGCATGGACCGGTGATATACAAGCGAAGTTTGTTTGACATCTTGTTTTGTGGACGAGGGATGGAAACGGCATATGATGACACCCCATAATTGACGTAGAGCTGTGTTAACCATAGATATATATATATAGACACTAGATGACTCACCCGCGCTGCTGGCCAATGGAGACCGACGTTGCCACATGGCGGCCATCTTGCCACAGGCAGCTCGCTCCTTCATAACATTATGTCTATGGTGCACTATTGAAATAACCGTAGATTGCTCAATTTTCAACCAATTTTCAAACGGTTTGGTTCGTTATAAACATCAAAGATGTAGTTATGATACTGCATACTTATAATTAATCATTAACTTTTTTTTTTTCAACATGTCTTGTTGTCTCCTGTATCATAGCCATGCTAATAACGTTTATAATGAACCAAACCCTTTGTAAATCAGTCAATATTTCAGCGAGTTAAGAGTATTTTTGTGCAGTTCACTCACCTTACAACAGCTGTAGCAGTAGTTGTTGACTGTGGTAAGATGGCCGCCGGTGAGCTACGCTGGTGACTCCCCCTTGAGCCATCTAGTGTTTATATATATCTATGGTGTTAACCATTATCTGAAGTCTGCTGCTCTGAGCATGTCAGTTGGAGTTATGACATCATCGTGTTCCATGACACAGGTGTTTATATTTGAGCTAACGATGTGTCCAGATATCAAAGGTTTCCATGGTGATGAGCATTTGCATTGTTCTGAACGAGAGATAAACCTCTTACATGTGAACGCTTTGTTGAAGAACCGTAACAGATATCGGTGAAATTTCAAAGCGTGAAGCATGTTAAGGAACTTGAGCATCTGAAATGTACTTTTTGTGTACTTTCGGGTTAATAATGTGGCCTTTTTGGCAGATTAACTAAAGGTGTGCGGAACTGTGGTGGGGAAAGATGAGGCTGAATTTACAATGGGGTTTAATGGAGACATGTTGAAAGTTTTTGCCACTTCATGCCCTCAAGAGGCATTTTGTTTAATTATTTTTGCTTAATTTTTATTTATTTTTCAAGCTACGAGATGTTTTCCTACGTTTTTCTCATGAAAAATTATGTCTCAGGAATGTAGGGTTTGGGAATTATGGCAGGTTTAAAAGAAAATATGAAGGCAAAATTAAATCTGTCCTCCACTCTAGCTGTGACATCACGCACTCTAAAATCTGAAGAAGGCCTCTTTACCAAGGTCTGAACAATGTTTAATATCTCTAAAAGTACAAATCAGATTTAAAAGTTGTGTGCACGAATAATGTCAGAAAGATGTGTAACATTTTAAAGTTGGAATGAGGTTTCTGAGTGAAAGTATGCAGGAGCAGTTAGCAGTTGAAGTTGCATGAAGATTGTTCAAGTCTGAAGAGTTTCTTTCTTTCTCTTCTTTCGCTAAAGTGTGATAAGAGATTCCTGCTGCGGGAAATAATAGTTTTGAGATTACCTGTTGTACTTTTTGTGCCCTTTTCTGTTTAGCAAACCAGTGTTCTATAGAACACCTTTATATAGAAGCCCTTTTTTTTCTTAATTTACAAAAATTCTGAGAAATGTTTTAATTTTAAAAGTACTGCTCTGTTTTACTGAATACAATTCTGAGAAAGTTTTCATTAAAAATGATGTTCTTTTATTCTGTACTAACAAGATCAATATTTCTCAGAATTCCTAAGAACAGTTTGGATGGGGAGAACATCTCAGTTTTTCCGAATGAACAGAATACATACAAATCCCAAAGTACTCGTTTGTATAGGTTAAATACAATTTAACGATATAATGACAAAACTCTTATTTCATTATTGATCTTGTGTGTGTGTGTGTGTGTGTGTGTGTGTGTGTGTGTGTGTGTGTGTGTGTGTGTGTGTGTGTGTCCTCAGGAGTCTCTACTTAGCAGCATTGTGAATATTGGGACTTGTTTCGGGGTTTGAATAAGAACAGAAAGCTGGCAGCTAAATAAACGCCACACATCAGAAATCCAACACGCTTTCTCTTCCTTCCTTTGATTCCTCTGTTTTCTCACTGGAAGGCTTATTGAATTAAGAAAATAAACAAGAGTCAGAAATGTAAAACAAACAAGGCTCTTTTAAAGAGAGCGGCTCCTTAGGTATGCTAATTTCGTAATCTTACAACAAATCAGTCATGGGGTTATTGCCTGTGTGTGCGCCAGAGTTTCCGTTAGAATTTTTTTTTGCTGGTCAACATGTCCGTTAAAGTTTAAATCTTCCGGAGAAAATGAGAAAGGTGCCGGTCAAAGGTCTTCTTTGTTATTTATTGAGCTTTTAAACAAATTGATATGATTCGATATTAAACAAACTAATTATAGTCGATTAACTACATTATTCAAAAGTTTACAGTAACTTATAATAACACGGGAATAATAAACAGAGCGCTCTCTCCCTCTCCTGACAGCCCGTCAGTATCATGCAGCTCGCGGATCCAGTAATGAGTGACCCGACAGTAAAACTAAACATATCTATAACTAGTTTAGGTAGTTTGAGAGGTCATTAAAATAGCTAAGTGTGATTTTCTAACCTGAAGTGTGTGTTTGGCTCCGCTCACCGCTGCATGTGATCATGCAGAGCTGCGTGTCGACTCGTCAGCAGCAGCTGATCTCTCTCTCCCGTCAGATTAGACTTCACTCGCGTTTATGTCCATATCGATCAGATCCAGCTAGTTCTAGCTAATGATATGACTACCTGCTTATTAAAAGACACCTAAACAATAAGCGTTGCTATGCAACCGGGTGAGGCTGCAAAGTATAGCGCAGCATTATGCATTTGTTTACATGCCCACCGGAACCTCGAGGCATTACCAACAGATCAACGCACAATAAACCCACACAGGACATCTCTTTCTCCACATTAAATGTTAGACATTAGAATTGACTCTTCTTGTCTGTCACATAAGCGGCGCAACTGATGCGGTATTGTGCTAAGGGGAAATTATTTTGACCGGACATTTTGACCGGAGAGATTTAGATTTGCCGGTCTTCAGCATATTTTACCGGTCAAAGTCCGGTAATTACCGGCTAACGGAAACTCTGGTGTGCGCACTCGGTTGTGTGTGTAGGTGTGTGGCACTTGTGTAAGATGGGGACGATCACCCCCTGTGTTTTAGCTTGCCATTCTTATTCTTTGATATCTTCAAGATTAATTTCTAAACTGAATGTGTGTATAGACATTAATGTGTGTGTGGTGAGTGTGTACTCCCCCTAGCTCTGGTTTCCATTTTTGACTGTTTCCACCTGCGGCCCTCCACTTTTTATCTAGTTACATATCCGCAGTAAGCTTTGAATCTGCATAATCATAGTTGTTTTTTCTCCATTTCCTAACGACCTATTTCACTCCTAACGAAAGTAAAGGCTCATTCACTCGTGACGCTTGTTTGTAGTTCAAAGCAGAAGAAGAGTCCCACTGCTATTCAGAAGATTCAGCCTAGATACTGGCCTACATATAACTGTCTTCATGTTAACAATCAGTGTTTGAGTCATTCCTGTCACTTTCTCCACATGACAAAACAAAGGGGTCTTCCCCTGACTCAAAACTACTTCCAACAGGTGCACTCATACCTCCCACTCATGTTTTCTCCTTTATCTTTTTCTCTCCCTGTCACTATCTCTGTTTCCCAGGGACCACACATAGCATCAGTGACTTTGGCAGCCTATGAATGTGGCTCGGTGGATTTCCCCGAACCGCCCTATCCAGACCAAATCATCTGTCCCCAGCAGAGTGCACCGGCAGCAGGGTCTGATGCTGCTGAGCAGGTGGGCGTGGAGGCTGCGGGGGAGGGAGGGTTGGTGGAGACAGCTGCCATCCAGGGAAGCATCTCTCTCTGGACCATCCTCTCTAAAGTGCGCCTGGAAGCTTGTATGTGGGTGAGTGCATGTTACACGCTGGCATTGGACACTGCAGGCCGCAAAAACTGAAGAGCTTTTATAAACATTTCTCATTGTGCAGTTTTGGTCGCAGTTTGAATTGACCTTGCCCACTGACCACAGCTGGGACCAGTATTCAGAGTGTGTGCTATGAAATATCTACTTTATGTCAGTTCCTCATGCACTAAGAGAAACGATCTTGTTTTCTGACTCACCACTATGCATGTTTGAATTTATCCAGTGGATTTTTATAAGGTGCCATTAGACAGACAGAGGGAGGTAGAAACATAAAACCTACCAAAATTGAAGGGGCCGCATCAAACTAAGCATGCGAAGAACTTCAAATTAGGTTAACAAGTCATACCATGAATTTTTACTGACTTACCATGCAACTGTGGTTATTGAATGGCAGAAAATGGTGAACATGTGATCCTCAATTGGACTCCCTTGTTTTCTACAGAACATAATGACATCACTATGTAACACTTGCTCTTCTATTGGCTAGCGCTTCAACAAATTGTAATTGATAGGCTAAAGGGCGGGACATCTCTCAGCGAGCGTCCAATCACAACAGCCGGCCAGTTTACCAATCAGAGCAGACTTGGCACTGATTTCAGACAGAGGGTGGAAAGAGGTGCTGAGGCACAGGCAGTATAAGAAAAATAAAGACGTTTTTGAACATTAAAGCACGGAAACATTACACAGTAGAGGCACAAAATATAGATATGAACTAGGGCTGTACCCGAATATCCGGTCGTTGGCCTACTATTCGGTTTTCAATTTCGTTAGTCAGATATTCTTTTTTTTCCTTTTTTTTGGCAGCCGTGCTGCACTGCGTGGGGGTTAGGATAGGGTTGGGTTAAATGCAGAGGACACATTTAGTTTTAATGTATGCGATTACTGAGACAATAAAGACGTTATAAATAAATATAAATCTTATAAATATAAATCGTAGTAGTATGCTCTTTCTGCAATTCTGCTTCACAGCGTTTTTGTTAGGTGTCTCGGATTCGGAGCATATTATGAAACCTTTTGGAAAATGTATTTTTATTAATTCCAGCATTTCCCTCCGAATAATGGTCGAAGACTTGACTGATGATATGAATGTATTGAAATCTCCAATATCAACGTAAGAGCTTGTGCCTCTTCGGGGGTGCTAACACTTAATCATAAACGTTATCCTTTACTTTCTCCGTCTTTATATGTAGATATTACTTTTCTCCGTTAATCTCCGCTCCTTTTCTCCGTCACGTTGTTTCGTAGCAACAACAACTTCCTGTCAACAGCGCTAACTCTCCTTCAAAATAAAAGCATGTCCATACAAAATAGGAAGCCAAGTCAAATTACACTTAAGACATATATACAACTGCAACTAAAGTAACAAACACAATGCAATATCCTTTTCAATTTCAAAGTACACAAATTGGGTTATTTACATTAATAAATAACTATAAAACAACAGTACTGTAGAATAACAAAATGAATGCCTTGAATAAACCGAAATACACGTGTTGAAGCACGCGCCGAATATTCGCTGCTGATTACTACCGAATATCCGGAGCCCGAAAATGGTATTCGGGACAGCTCTAATATGAACCTGAAAATGACTTTAAAAACCTCTGTCATTTACTTTATGATTCATGTTTCTTTTCTGCAGTACCTCCACTGATAAATGATCAAGCTATCTATGAATGAGTCAAATGTGCATGTTCACCTTTCAAGTGTTTTCATTGATAACTCACTTGCTTGGAAACCCCCAGCCCCTTACCATGAGATTTCCCCCAGTGTCGGTGGGTTCACACACCCTGTGGCTGCTGAGAAAGATGAAACATTTTCAGTGTACTACGTTTTCTTCAGAACAAGAGCAGGAACACTTTTACAACTTTTATAGTGGAAATTAATAAAGAGAACATTCTAAACTTTATAATGCCAGTGTTTTTGGTTTAAAGAGCAGCTTTCTACTTTCAACAAAAACAGATATGTGTCACACTTTATAGACTTCTTTGTAACAGCAGTATCTTTTAATATCCCACGTTAACGGCAGTTTGCTCTTTTCATGAGAAAGGCAGAACTGCCGAACACTGAGAAAAGAGAACTTGGTCACTGACACTTGATGTGACTTTTACCATTCTTTGTTATCTGTTTCCCTGTTCTACATAAAGTGTAAAGAGCTGAGGGGAAAGGGAAATACAGACCCCCGGCTGCTTCTTCAATACCAAGAGTTTACAGGAACCAGACACAACCTGCCCTCTACTGTAATTGGCCCCAATGCTTCCTTATTGTTTGTAATACATTAACTTACACACACAAACGTACAAAGCAAAATATGAAACTGCACGCATACACGTGCAATGAAGACTTACAAAGGTGTGTGTGTGTGTGTGTGTGTGTGTGTGTGTGTGTGTGTGTGTGTGTGTGTGTGTGTGTGTGTGTGTGTGTGTGTGTGTGTGTGTGTGTGTGTGTGTGTGTGTGTGTGTGTGTGTGTGTGTGTGTGTGTGTGTGTGTGTGTGTGTGTGTGTGTGTGTGTGTGTGTGTGTGTGTGTGTGTGTGTGTGTGTGTGTGTGTGTGTGTGTGTGTGTGTGTGTGTGTGTGTGTGTGTGTGTGTGTGTGTGTGTGATAAGGGCTTGGCAATAAATCTAGATCACTTTCCCTTTATGATTTTGGCTCCCAATGATTCTGATAAAGAAATCTAGATTACACAATCATTGTGCCGCTCCCTGTTTCACAATGATTATGTCTTGTGTTATAAGTCCAGCACATCGCGGACTTTCCAAATAGCGGTGCGCAATTTTTGCTAGATTATCAAGTGGAATAGGTCAGAAAAAGTTGACTTTTTAAATGTTGAATATATGTTTAGGAGTTCTCAGTAGGGATAGAAGTTGACCTCAATCTATTTGATCTAATTTATTTTGGTCTAAATTATTTTTACCATTTTATATATTAACAATATATATTTAGTAGGTTGCAGTCATGTTACAATATAGTTGATTACATTTTCTTTTAGATCATTCGTTTTTAAAAGTGTGTTAATGAGAGTAATCCTCATAAATAAACATGATTTACCAAAACAACCTTGATTTTTATTGAAATCTTGCAGCCCAATGCCTGATTTGAGTTTTTCAAACCAGCAGCATCACCATGATCTAAGGTGTGATATGGGAGTCTGTGGGTGTGGGTGCCACCCAATCCCCTCACATTCATCCCCACCCATGAACCACCACACCCCTGTAACCCCAGCCAGGCTTGAGAGCTTTACAGTTGGAGACACCTGTTGCATCCACAGTTTCAAAGCACTCACGCAAGCGTTCCTCCTCCTCCTGCCTGTTTCCCATCTTCTGGATTCAATGCTGATAAGACATGACACATTGCCCTCCCCACCACCACTACCTCTTCTCCTCCTCTCTTCTTTTACTTTCTCCTTTCTCTTAGTTTCTTTGTCCATCTCCTCGTGAAGCCTTTCTGTCCACTAAGTGCGCCACTTCAAACACCAGTACTGTGCAGGTGGACGTTTCAGTGCAGGGGGGCACAAACACACATACACACAGACACATGCACGCTCACAAACAGAGGCAATGAATGGAGCAGCTGCCAGGGAGATTAGGGCACGTCTTTATTACGAGAAAATACTGGCAGATTTCATCAAAGACGGCAGTGTTAACAGGAGAACAGGGTGTCCAGATTAAAGACGCAAGTCTGCCAGATTTCTTTTTTAAAGTCTGCCAAGTTTTTTTTTTTTTTTTTTAAATATGCCAGGTTTTTGGATAGCACCGCCTACTGAGAACAATTGTTTGTGCTTGTTGTCGCTGCCATGGTTGCTAACTACCCACTAATCATCTTCTGGCTCAGCCATCCAGCTACATACAAGTAATGTGGCTGTGATTAGTTAGTTATGTTCTTCTGGGAGAGGGACTGAAGCTGGGATTTTGTGTGTGTTCATCGTAAAGAATTGAACTTTAGTTGTATTTCATCGCATCATAGGATGTCAGGCACATGTCGGTGCTTTGAATCATCCATCTGTAACTGTAACTTAAACTAACTGTATCCTTAGCATCTTCTCTCAACCCCCTCTAACCTCACTCTCCCCCTGTGCCTGGAAACATTAAAGTAATGAGCTGTGAGCGACTCCAAAAAACACTGCATTTCTTGGCGGCTGTTTTCATTGTGTTAATTAAGTCTGTAGCCTTCACCCCTCATTCCCCCCATCCTCATGTTTTGGCGGTATGAACTTGGTGAACCGACAAAGTGCTGAGGATTTATTTCCCTCAAATCACTTCCGCTTTCTCCCCACTAAGCCCCCCTCAATCACACAGGCTCCACCACTTTATAGATACAAGCTCCTTTTAGCTGTCAGATATTGATATCTCGGTTCCTTCAGGCCCCCCCACCACCCTGGACTTGTTAGCACTTCTTACATTTTCCAGAAAAACGTCATTCCACATGTCCAGAGCAGATTGGAACTGAGCAGTGAGCAGTGAAGCGTCGATGTGCTGTTCAGAAGTGCCATCTGGTTTTTCACCTTCTAGTGGCTTTAGATATCCACGATCGTGACGTGTATTAATCGGTGGGATTTTTGTTCTCGTAAATCCTTTCCGCTCTATTCCCATTAGGTGTTCTGCTCGCACAATTCCAGACGCCAAGCAGTGCAAGCTCCTTTGGATAGTGGATTTTGATATCTTTGTTTCATTAGCCCAACAGGAACCAATGTAACACTGTTACAATATTTATTAGCATATTATTTAGACACATATATCATTTTTAAAACCACTCATTGCATATACAAAAATACAATGTATGCAATAAAATCAGCCACAGCATTACCATAAATAAAATTCATATACATGCACTCTACTTAACAACTAACATCTCTATTTTTCTTTGTTAAAGCTAAGTTGAATTCAGCTTTGTTGGCATGTTGGGACAGAAGCCGCCGTTGCCAAAACAGAATGCAGAAGCAATGCCATACAACTGTAAACGGCAGAGCAGCACAGAGCAATGATGGTGTGTGTGTGTGTGTGTGTGTGTGTGTGTGTGTGTGTGTGTGTGTGTGTGTGTGTGTGTGTGTGTGTGTGTGTGTGTGTGTGTGTGTGTGTGTGTGTGTGTGTGTGTGTGTGTGTGTGTGTGTGTGTGTGTGTGTGTGTGTGTGTGTGTGTGTGTGTGTGTGTGTGTGTGTGTGCGTGTGCGTGTGTGTAGGGTGCAGGTACAGCTATAGGAGAGCTCCCCCCCTACTTCATGGCCCGAGCTGCGAGGCTGTCCGGCGCCGACCCCGACGACGAGGACTACCAGAGGATCGAGGAGATTCTGGACCAGACGCAGCCTGCACAGGTGACTCACCGCTCTCTTCACCACTCTGTTACCTCACACCCTCAACAACAAGAAGTATTCAAACCTTCTACTCGCTAGTAAAATAGCGGTACTACAGTTTAGAAGTACAAAAAAATAAAACACAAAAATAAAAGTGATTATAATGCAGAATGACCAGTTACAAAATCAATTAAAATATAACTACTCATGCTTCACTTAATGTGAATGTTGTTTCTGCTAATGATGGAGCTTCTTTTAATGACTTCCATCATCATATATAACTTGATTTATCTCTTGTTTTAATAATCGAAATATGCCAAGTAACTCATACAAAACTTTACAAAATACATTTTGTACAGAAAAACTTTACAATAGAATTATAAAGCAGCATAAAGTAGAAATATTCAAGTAAAGCACAAGCACCTCTTAATTGATTAAATTAACTTCTTAACTAACCTTTTTCATGGAAGAGGTTTATGATATTTTACTTAAGTAGAAATAGCAATACTACAGTGTGGACATATTACAAAAGTATTAGCATACAAATACTATACTATATACTTGTGCCAAAGGTAAAACACTCATTATGTACATACATTTTACAAAAGTGAATCAATGAAATGTACTAAGTTACATTTCACAATAATATGACTCGCAGAACAGCAATGATGCACTTGATTGAAATGCTCCCGCCGTTTCCGGCCCTTCGTTTTGAAATTCCCTGTGAGAAAGACAAAAAGTTATCGTATCAAACATTGCTGCCAATTCTTCAACAATTCCTCATAGCTCCCTGTAAATATTTATCCTCCCACCCTCTTGTGATTATGAACGGAGGAGGAGAAATGTGCGGAAACATGCGTGTGGTTTCGTAACGGCTTCCCATCAGATCAGTGTGTCCTCCTGACCGACTTCCTCCCCAGGAATGCCTTTCTTTCTCCAACAGTCTGGGTCAAACAGTCAGACAGGTCAAGTGCAGTAAAATAGCAGCATCCATTCATGGTTTTCAACTTTACAAAGCACTCACTTACTCTTTTTTTTAATAAATAAACTGAAGCTGACTTTAGAAACAGATGTTGACACATCAATGCAGATTTATGAGGGGGTCCCATTGTCAGAGGATTACTGAGTGATTCAGAGCAGTGTTCATTTTGTTTACTGTAATTACTTCACTATTCAGCAATCATACAGGTTTAGCAATAATACAGCCTTATGTGAATCATTCAGTACTTGCATGCCGTCTTGGAGAATGCAGTGATTCCAAAGGAGAACAAATACCTGAAAAGCATCACAAGATGAACTCAGTCCCCAAATACATTGTGTTTCAGAAATAAGAAGAAATGTTGTTCTAACATATCATTTATTTGAATCTAGTCTTTTCCATTCTGTTATCTTGTATCTTCAGATGTTTCTCTGTGTACCTATATGTGCCAAAAATATCAAACGCACGCAAAGAAAACCCTCTCTTTATGTGAGGTGTAAAGCATCTGTTATAACCTGAGCTATGTGTGGGTATTTATAGTAGTGGAAATGTAAGAGTATGTATTTGTTAAATGTAATATAATTTAGATCATAGCAGTCTCTTTTTTCCTTTCTTTAAATATTCAAATCACTTAAACCATGTCATGTCCATTATCACATTGTCACTTAGAATCCTGTTGGATAACAAAGCATAGCATATATAAAACTCCTTGCTACAGAAACATGAAGTGTTCTAGAAGCAGGATGCTGTCTTGAAGCAGTGCAAATCAATCAATATATGTAATGTTATTTGTTTGAAATGTGGAAATAAGTTGATTTGCTTTGATTGAATATGAAAATAAATATTGATAAACATATTGTATTAATGCACTAAATCAGTGGTTTGGTGACCAACATTGGCATACCCAGGGTTACCAGAACATTTGGAGTATTTTTTAAGTATTTCACAAAAGAGAATCTAAATAATAATACTCTACAGCCATTTTCATCACTGTCATCTTTCAGTAGATAGTAGAACTATTCTTTCCCTCTCTTCTTTTCTACTTTTACCTGCTAAGGAATCCACTTGGGTTAATTGTTTTGGTAAACTGCACTGCATTGTCAAAAAAAAAGTTGTTGCACTTTTTATTTTTGAAAATATTGTAGGTATGGCATTTTTTTTCTTCATTTGACAAAACACATACTGTATGTATATTGCATTTCGAGCCATAGCCCAATCACTGGTGTTCCTGTATCTACTTTGTCACTTACAAAACACACTCACTTCACTACCCCTGCCTTTCTTACATATCCTAAAATGGAATTGGGTAGACATCAGTCCAAACTGCATGTTAAGCATCCCTTAATAATATTTCTTTTTTTAAATATACCAAATTATTTTTAAAGGAATCTTTTTTTGCCAACTGACATCATGTGAATGGCTAGAGGCACTGGGTACTCATATAAATTCAGCTCTGCAGATGTTTGTAAATGAGCCTTCTAAAAATAAATACTGCATCAATCACTTTATTCATTAACAGCATAGTTAAACTGACCGAACAGAAGTGACCTTTTGAGAAACTAACAGTGAAACGGATTGAAGGAAGTAAGAAGAACATTTGGTGAGAAGGCGAAGTGATGCAGCACCTGCTCTAAGTTCTCGTTACTAATGTTGTGGACAGCGTAGCAGGTTGGCACCGACATCAGCCCGGTCCACACGTGTGAGAGTGGAGTTCTGACATCACTCACTGATAAAGTGGCGCATCCCACCGAAACTGCAAGAAAAGAGTAGAGGGGGTGGTAGTTTCAGGAACAGGCAGCATGGGAAAGAGGAGATTTTGTCTGAATTTAGATATCAACATCGAAAGAGCTCCTGCTTGTCTTTTCAAAACAAGCAAGCAGTTTGACGCAGGAGGAGCATCGCCTGGTCGCATCCTCGCGAGGTTAGATTGGAAGTGACGCTGCTCTCCGTACGCCACCTCACTGCTCTCTCTCTCTCACATTGTTTCTCTTTCTGTCCCTCTCTCCCTATGCTTTCTCTTGCTATTCTTTCTCACGCACTCCGTCCGTCTCCCACTGTGAACCGCTCTCTCTCGCTCCTCTCTCTCTGATGATATCTGGCAGCTGTGTGTATGCATGTAATGTGTGCTTGTGTGATTGGTAAGAATCTGGAAGCAGGTTGCTAGCACCATTGAGGACCTGCAACATACGGAAACATTTGATGCGCTCGCCAGGGCTTTTACCATTACTCTGAACTTCTCAGGGTTCCCTCTTTTGCTCAAGGACTTCCCACTCTCCTCTGATTTTCACTCCTTTTTGCACCTTTCAAGGTGGTCACAGAGTCATTCATCCGCAGTGGATTTGTGTCAGAGATTTTGATTGATTGTTGAAAATCAATAGTGGTAGGCGAAGTGGAAAACAGACTCCACTGGGATCGGATTCAAGAAACTTTGGTATTGTTCGATAGTTGCAAATTAGACAGTGTTGAATTTTGCCCTCTAGGATTTGACCTCCTTCAACCTCTCCCCTCTTGTAACACATCCTCATATTCTCTCCCACACACACACTCTGACACACTCCACCCTGTGGCAGAAGAGCTGGAATAAGATGCTGACTATGTCCCTCCGCTCGAGTCACAGAGGTGCCAGCCGTTTGACTTCAACCCTGTGGCATTTCTCCCAGCCTGCACGTGCCAACTTCCTGCCACAAGTGCACGTGATGCACAGCAGCAGAGCACTCAGAGTTTTTTTTTCTCATTCATTCAACAGAGCTATTCAAGTATAATGAAGTCATGCCTTTTCTAACGGCTCCAGACGCTGATGTCATGAACATCAGCTTTTTTCCCCCTCTTAAATCTTTAACTCAGTACAAGAATCCTCAGTGTCCACACAGCCTGTTTCCAAGGACCCTGCATGGAACCAGTCCATGATTGCTTGTAACTTGAAAATGAAGTTACTTCCTTTTTTCTTTTTTTTCCGCATCCGGCGCGGATGGGGTTAACAGGCTGTGAATTCTTGATTGCCAACTCCCAGGATTGTATCTCCTGTAATTCAAATCAGGGCCATCTGCGCTGGGCGTATGCCTGCCTTCCCCCCTGCACTCAAAGGCTCTCTGTGCTGTGGTTTGCCCGGCCCCGTCACGTGACTTCTCTGAAAGTGCCCCCTCCCTCCTCCTCCCTCTTTATTTCCAGTAAACTGTTTGAAAGGAGGGGGGTGACTCAGAGTAAAACCAGCTTCCCTTTAACCACAGCTTGTTAAAGAATTTGTCAACGTGGACTCAGGGGTGCATTTTGTGTGTGTGTGTGTGTGTGTGTGTGTGTGTGTGTGTGTGTGTGTGTGTGTGTGTGTGTGTGTGTGTGTGTGTGTGTGTGTGTGTGTGTGTGTGTGTGTGTGTGTGTGTGTGTGTGTGTGTGTGTGTGTGTGTGTGTGTGTGTGTGTGTGTGTGTGTGTGTGATCTATTCTTTTTTCTTCTTTCTTTAAAGGGGACTGTAGCTTGTGTTGCGTCATGAGTTCTTAATCACTCCACTTCCTGTGCCAGAGAGCAGGCGCGGGCTTGTCAGGAGTTAATGAGATGAACTTTAGCCGTCTTCGTGTCGGGGGGCTTGCGGCAGCTCCGGAGATGTGTGTGTGTGTCTTCTGTGTGAAAGACTTTCATTGAGAAAAAAAAAAGAAAACACAGAGAGAGGGGAGAGAAAAAATGTGCGTGGGTGTTGACTTGTGTATAGACTATGCATAGATTTTTCCTTGTCTGACACTTCAATTTTCCACATGGAGCACAGTGCTTTGTCGCTGCCTGCTTTTTGTCTGTGTTTGAACTCTGTACCCTATAAGCACTACAAAAAACCTCGAACTACTGAAAACAAAGTGTTTTCTTTGCCAACTTTTTCACATTGAAAAGTCCTTTGTGCAACTTCTGGCAAATCCAAAATAAACATCACATGTACAGTAATGCATTTCCGATGTAAAACAGGCAAAGAGAACAAATGTCACTCACAGTTCTTTCAAAAACATGACATTTGAAAATACTTTACTGTATATCAGCACATCATATTCATACAAATGTATATTTGTAATATTAACAGTTGGTTGTTCCCTGTGAATTTGTCTAATAACTCAACACCGAGCAACTGTAACCACATATATAGACAGTACATGCTTTCAAAAACTATTAATATTAGTTTTTCCCAAGTACCTAATAAGAATACCGTCTCAATTTGTATTAATGATCCAGGTGACATTATTCCATAAGTTTGTGACAAACGCTCTGCTATTTATCATTACAATATTCATGTGTATATTATATTAATTATAATCAAAGCAAAAGTTTAAAATGTTTGATGTTTGAAACGATGATGAACAGATTGCCTTTTAAAACCATTTTAAAAAAGAAAGAAAAAATTGCCAATATGTTTAATACTTTTTACACATGAAACATTAAACATATGGCTGTAAGAGTGGAAGATAAAAGTGCTTACATGTGGTTTCTGAGAAGCCTTTACGATTTGCTTATTCAAATGAAGAATTGGTCAATCTAACTGCCAGAAGTTAATGTGGGGTGTGGTGGGGGTGGGGTGCGACTGAGCTCCATGTGGGGTGACTGTGCAGGCTTCAAGTAAAGCATCTGTGCCGAGCAGCCAAATCTGGAGCCAAAACCTCCACCGTTTTAATGACGCTGCACCCCTGACAAGATCTTACCAAATGTAATTACTGCTAAGCCCAGCCCTGCCGGCTGGCAGAGACAGGGGTGGAAGGGGTGGGGTGGGGGGGGGGGGGGGGGGGGGGGGTGGGCGGACCAGGCAGCCTTTGGCAAGCAGCCTGGTAAAGATGGTGATTTTCCATAAGCCACCGACAACAGAGTCGGGATGTCTGAACCCCAGCCATCCAAGATAGACACTTCCCCGGCCCAGAAATGCAGAGAGAGAGTCCAAGTACATAGTTCAACTATAGTAAATCACAGTGTCACAAGTTCACACACACATGTTTACACACTTTTACACCCGCCCCTCTCCACCTCGGGGACCCTTTGTTCACGCTGTGGTGATATTTTTTCAATGATCGCTCTCCCTGCATGAGCCAATAGCTCAACCGCGGCACCTATAATGTAAACAATGCGTGTGTCATGATGTCAGAAAATGAATGGGATTCACACAGGTCGTCGCCATGGCGCTGATTGGTTCTGCAGGGCTTTCGCAGTTGTCAGGTGTCCCTGGTCCAGAGTCAGTCCTCAGCGGTTCAGCTACAGCCAACCAAACACATTCCTTCCTCCCTGTCTCCCACCAGCTGAGCCACACACGCATGCACGCACACACACACACACACACACACACACACACACACACACACACACACACACACACACACACACACACACACACACACACACACACACACACACACACAGCAACAGGCTAGAATTAAACTACAGGCCAGTTCAAGGAGAAACTTTTATGATTGGATGTCAGTGGAGGCAGAAATTCAAATGGTGAACCAATCAGATTGTGTGTCCCTTCGCTCCCCCCACCACCACCTTATTAGGCGACCCTCCCATGTCTCTCAAATTTCCCCTCCGCTCGGTTGCACTCCGTAAAGAATGTAATCGGCACTGTACTGGTTTTGTTGACCATATTAGGTATGATCGAGAATTGCCATCCCGCTCAAGCATCTCTCTTTTTAAAACATGAATATGATGTTCAGGAAACTGAGGCCTTTCTGTTCAGAATGAAAAACATTAATTATATTTTATTTTATTTCTCCAGTAGTTGATTTTATATTGTTTAAATGTGCTGTGAGTGGGAAAAATATGTATATGAAATCTACTTCATATATAACGAACATTCATTAAGAATTTGTGTCTATAAATAATTTCCCAGACCACTATCTGACAGTGTTATTCTAAAATGCCTCTTTGGGAACACTTTGCCACGTAAAAGGTTAGGTTAAGGAAATATAAACACATTTTTGAATGTCTTAAGGCGTATGTTCACTTTAATGCCAACATAAATATGTGTTCATATCAGCCCTCAAAGTTAAAAAAGGTGTTTTTTTCTCTTAATGAAGGATATCTCCTTTTGAAGCAAAAATGACATAAACTGTATATATATTTGTTTTTATAAATAATTGTATCTGTAGTTATTTATTAATCACCAGAGGTTTATATATTAGTTCCGTGCACAAATACACACTTTATTTGAAAGGCACAATATTGCACTTTGCATTTAAAACATCTACAACATTTCATATAGCCAGTGCAAACTATATATTATAGTAGAAGATATATATATATATATATATATATATAGAAGACTTCATTAATATTTAAATAAAAGCATTGACATTTCTAAAGCATGAGAATAGTTATATGTTAGGATAAATAAACAATTTAGGCTTTGATCCATTTATATAGATACCAAAGATAAAAGTTCAAGAGTTATATTAAACACTTTCTTTATTTGTTATGACAGTAATCTAATTAGTTTGCTATATTTTGAACTGCAAAGCATGTTTTTAAAAGGCAGAATTACTACACTAATAACATTAACATTGCAAGAGACAGGTTTATCTTCTTGGTTTTCATTAAATGATACGATACTATGCCATGCCTTAAATTACATTCTGAATCAAATTATACAACAAATGAAAGCCATTTTTCAGTCCCATCTGGTATTCTCTATTGCCAGCAGTTACAATTATTTTCATATAAACAAGAATAATAAAAACAACAAAATAATAAAAACCTGCATTGAATATTTTAGAAATGCAATATCCTCTATATTTTATGGTTATTGTTATAAACATTTCCATTTCTGATTAGAATCAAACAATTTATGTTAATAAAAAACACATTTAATTTACCAATTGCAAATTCAGCAGGGTATAAAGTAATCATTTTATAAATTACCGAGATATTTAATGCATTCCAAATGATGAGAGGTCCTTGATCAGTGGTCTCCTTTGCATCCCCACGCTGTTCCCAGAACTAGTTTGGGTCAAATCAAAACAGATTATGGCTACTCTTCCCAGAAAAGGTATGTAGAGAATATGTATGTGTCATTGCTGTGAAAAGAGGCTTTGTGGAGCTTTCAGGAGGGTTAGGGAAAGACCAGCAGAAAAAAGCTAGACTTTGTGAGTCACAGGAATAACAAAAGTCTGCTCTCTTGTTCACACAATTCCAGTGACAAAGGAATTAATAACTGGCCATAAGTGTTCAATACAGACGTGCTAAAAGCAGTTTGTCCCTAACTCTAATGAAGAAACATGTTTAGAGACGAGCCTGTCAATTCTTTCACAGTTTGTGTCAGGTGAATCAGCCGGGGACTTGAAGATATCTGTGTTGGCAGAACAGTCAGGAATTTAGCACAGGAGTTCATTTAATTGCAAACCCACTTATTTGAACATCTGAACAAATTAATTTCACCTCTAAAAATACTTTTACTATTAGGTTAATAATTGTTATGTGTTAGACATGCACGCGCTGGAAACTTTGACTCATTTAGAGCTCCTGATTTCTTGTATTTCACATTTATTTTGGTAGGTGTGAATACATTAGAATTAAAACTGTGTAAATATTTTTGAAAACTTAATATTTAAGTATTGGGTTTTAGAGATCTTTATCATTTAAAAATCAATTCAGAACTCAGAACAGATTTAATAAGTGCAAAGAGCTCGATGCATATTCTATTAATATATATATATCTTTAAGTTCCAAACTATTTTTTAAAGCTGTACATCTAATATCTGAGGATCTATTTATGGTTTTTCAGTTTTAACTTAGCTCAATAATTGCTAACTTTTATTTGAGGGAACATTAACATGAAGCAGAAACCCCTCCTGTCGCAGCTGCTGCTCCTTTCTAATTATTTAAAAACAGGCAGAGATAAAAAAAGAACTGACTTTTCACACATTTTTCGTTCCATTAGTTCGACATTATGTTTTTAGATATAAAATGGAAAGCTTTATGTCACATCGCACACCATTATTTGTAAATAAACAAAAACATTAGCCGTCAGAGAAGATGGAGAGATTTCCAAAAGCAGATCTTTAATCATTAAATCGTACCCCAAATTAATATATGATCCTAAAGTATTTATTTGTTTAAATTCGGTACTTGAATAGGGTTTCAAAGCATAGGTAAAGCATCTATTCACTAAGAGTTTTACAGCTGGTTACACACATTTATTTCACACAACTCTGTCATTGTCCCCGCTCCACAGAAAAGCTTAGCACTGATCAATTATCTTCTATAATTTCCCCTTAATAAATGTTTGAGTAGCCTTATTCAATATCTTAATCCAAACACCTTTACTTATCAATCTGTAACCTATCAGTAATTAAGTGTGGATCATTTATCAAATGAAATTTGAATCAGAAATAATTATTTTAAAGTGTTTGATCCAGTATTTATAAAGACAGTATAATGTGTATCTGTTAAAGCTCTACAACAATAATTAGAATAAGAATAAAGTGTTGATTTGTCGGTAAATACAAATATATAATGCTTTATATATTTGTATTTAGGTTTGAGATATCCTGTAAATAAAGCAGTCTGTATACAATAAAAACAGAAAGTTATCAGTATCAGATTAATATCAGCATGTTTCTATAGAAATTAAATTAAACCTTTTTTTCTCACTTTTATTCTTTTTCAGGACTTTGCCAGCCGAGCAAAAGTAGCCATTCAGAAACTCATCCAGAGGGTCGGATTCTTTGGGATTTTAGTCTGTGCTTCTGTAAGTCGAATCACACATAATGTTATCCTATTAAATACTCTTCACCCCCACTATGGCTTTTAAAAATCATTTTGTCATTTTTAAATATTGATGCATTGACATCATTCAAAGAAAACGACAGTCCTGAACTGTTAAAAATATTTGAAAAACAGCTTCTATTAATGTATATTTGTCTAATATCAAATATGCTCATGGTTTCTGTCACATACTGTAGAAGTTATGATGCCTTCATGCACTTTCTGATCCTATATATGATTTATATTGTATTTCTTTAGCTGTTATTGCAACATATCAGGTCTAATCATCTCTTCTGTTTCCCCCAGATTCCAAATCCGTTGTTTGACCTGGCAGGAATAACGTGCGGGCATTTTTTGGTTCCCTTTTGGACTTTTTTTGGTGCGACACTCATCGGGAAAGCAGTCATCAAAATGCACATTCAGGTGAGCTGCATCTAAATTATAAGTATCTATGTATCTAATGCCACAGTCAATGTTTCCTGAAATGATGTAAAGGACATGTATATATGCAGTGTTCTTCTTGTATCTTTTCAATGTCATTCACAAGCTAAATGTATCCATAGCAGAGTGTGAGATTAGCTTTCTATAATATTGTTCAGAGGCAGTTTAGTGATGAATCACACTCAAGCATCTCTGTACTGTATTCAGCTGGCAGTAAGGAGGCCATTTTGTGTAAAGTAGGGGGAGTCAACCATTTTGTAATGGCAGCTCTGCAGCACCCCCGGTTCATTGTACAGTCGTCCCGTCTGACCACAGCAGATTGAGAATTTATGGCAGGGTAAAAAGATCCATCCTAACCCTTAAATAAGAAAGTGGTGTTAGGAGACTTGGCATTACAAACGTTTCTTCTAATCCTGGAAAATCCTCAATTTGCGTCCAGGAATCTGCAGTAGGTCTGTGATTACCGTCAGGGGCTCCGCTTTCTGTTTTCTTAGAAAACGTTTGGAATTTGCTCATGGTGATTCAGAGAGGAAGGGTTAAAAAGCAAAGCTCTATTTTTTTCTCCTCACTCGGCCCCTTGCTTATCATACGCAGAAAGCATTGTCCGGCACTAAACTGAGAGAAAACGTGGTGCTGGGGTGTGGGGGGGGGGGGGGGGCACAGGGTGAAGCTGATAAACATTGTCTGTGGGAGGTGATGGAGAAAGAGAGCGGGAGAGAAAGAGGGGTGGGGGGTAGCATGCATGCATGGCAGGCACAGTACCAGATTACACCCAGGGGTCCCGGGGGCCCCCAATGACAGAGGTGTGTCCCTCCCTCGCTCACGGAAAGAAAGACTTCACCCGGCTCTCCGGCATGTCTGGGGGGCCCCCTCTCTCGCGTAGCTGCTTGGTTTAATTTCCTTCAAGCTCACATTTTGCTTCTAATGCAAATGATGCAGTAGTTTACAACGTGTGGGCAGAAAACTTAGAGAATAAAGCAGAGCAGGTGACGCTCTCCCTCGTGGGCCAAGAGGGAACAAAAGGGGATTTGAGGCTTCTGTTGTGCTGTGTGTGTGGGCGTTTTACTCTCAATGCTTCAAAGCGTGTTTTCTGAACTGAGTTTGTACCTGTGCTTCAGGTGTGTTCTTACAAGGAGAGGCTTTTTTTATTCTTAAGTCTTTCATGCTCATTAAGCTTCACGTGTGAATGTCCGCTGTTGAATGGTTACAGCGTCAGCGCCTTTGTGACGCAGCTGCCCACTTGAGGATGATGGGTGATGTCATGCACATACATGTGGGGCCCTTGAGAGGTAATTACACCGAGGACAGTGTAACAGAGAGGGGGCTGTAGAGGAGGACATGGACTGTCATATAGCATAAGGGGAAAGAGAATTTTCTATTGCACCCTTGGACTTTGGTAAGAGTGGTTAATATTAATATATAATGCTGGAGCACAAAAGGATGGAAACATTTCAAATCTTGATTATCCTGGCCAAAATAATAGATTAAATTCATAACGTTATCAAAATATCCTTAAAAAATGTCAATGGCACAACACGTAGTAGAATCACTTTACCTTACATTGAGTTAAGAAACAGATATTTTTATTGCATCAAAGAAAGGAAACACAACTTTCTAAAGTAAACATTCTTTTGTAGTACATTTTATTATAAATCATAAGTTCCCCTGCATTAATAAAGAATAAATAAAAATAGCAACATTGTCCGGTCTTTCTAGTTCCTGTATTTCTTAAATCAGGCTCTTTGTTCACTTCTCTACTACAATAGCAAGCTAGACATATTTTGAAAGTTCCTCATGTTAGCATATTCATGATTATCCTGAATATGAAGTCATGTTTTGTATCACCTCTGTGACCAGGATGTGTGTCGCTCTTATCAGAGTTATCACTTATCTGAAATCAGCGAGTCAGGACCGTGTCACCGTCGGTTTCCCAGCAGAGAAATCTCAAGGCATCTTATGCCCCGGCCACACGAGGACGAAAACGGCCGTTTGCGTTACTGTTTAGTGTCATATAGACCATTCGGCCACACGAGGACGACCGAATACGGCACTAAATGACTGAGGAAACGATAACGGGTCCCAAGGTGGATAGAACGGCATACGCAACGCTCTGGGGGGTCCAACGGCTCCGTGTGTACGCCCTATACGATCATTTTCTGATAATGATGAGGCAATAGCCCCACCTCTCCCCACCTCTGCTGCTCACCCCCGCGTCAAAGTAAACTGCACACTGAATTCAGATTATTTATCTTTCTCTCAATATGGACATAAACGCGAGTGAAGTCTAATCTGACAGGACGGAGACACGCAGTTCTGCTCACCTGCAGCTCCTCCCGCTGTGATGCAGCGGTGAACGGAGTAAAACACACACTTCAAGTCAGATCATCACCCTTAGCTATTTTATTTATTACCTCTCAAACTACCTAAACTAGATATAAATATGTTTATTTTTACTGTCGGCCGAGTCACTCATTACTGGATCAGCTGCTGCATGAAACAGACACTGACGTGCTGTCCGAAGAGAGGGAGGAAAAAGAGAGGCTCCGTGTATTTTATTATTATATTATATAGAGTCGTTATTCATTTGTTTTAAAGCTCAATAAATAACAAAGAAGACCTTTGTCCGGCACTTTTATAATTTTGTCGGAAGATTTAAACTTTAATACACGTTGACTGGCGAACAACTCTGCCCGGTTCCCTCGGCCCCCACCGCTGGAGAATAAACAGAAGGGCAACCATGACAACCATGCTTCTTCGCTGCTTTTGTGGAGGAAGTTACAGCGCCACGTACAGGCTCCTGCATATGTACTGCAGCTTCTCCAGCGGTTGGAGCTAAACGGAGCGGTCTCGTGTGGGCAGACACTATCCGGATAACTATTGCGTGTGGACGGAAGCTTGTTTGCGATTGCGTTTGCGTTAATCCTATGCGTTTAGCCGTTTTCGTCCTCGTGTGGCCGGGGCCTTAGTCAGCTTTCCTGTGTCGGCCATCTTGCTGTCCCCTTCCTCCCTGCCTTGTGTGGGATGATGAATTACTTGTCAATGCCTGTTGAATAGATGTGTGTGAACAAAATCAATATTTAAAAGCAATACTTCAAAATCTCTTCCTGAAGTTGGGGGTTTTGGAGAGGATTCACATACGGTTAGGCCCAGAAATAGTACGATAGCAACTGTCAATTATGTGTTTTGTTATTTTTGTGACATGGCCAACATTTGGACTCATACTGGCTTACCTTCCATGAGGTCCTGAGGCCCAACACAAATGAAAGTGACCGAACACATGTATGAAGTGGATGACATGTTACATAACCTTACAAAGAGCTCTGTAACAAAGCACTGATCAAAGACCGCTGTCACATTAAATTAACATTGTTAATGTTCTCTTTAGTGTAGCCATGCAAACGTGACAATTTGGCTGTCACATTTGTTTTACTTCACTTATAGTATCATCTATCTCACTCTGTAGATGTCTTGTTGTTTTTAATCATCCTGGAAGATATTATTATTCCTCATTACCTCCAATGAGGCTAGTTTGTGTGATATTATCGTTAAATCCTGTGATCAATATACTCAATAGGCATTTGTGTTCCATAATATCAGTGAGAAGTGTTTAATTGTATTTCATCAGTAACATAACCATGCTTTTAAAGTATCTTGAAAACTTTTCGGCTTATCATTAGGCTCAGTTTCACTAATTAATGTTAAACGTTGGATTACGTGGTCTACTGTTTCATATTACGATATATATTAATTTAACTGAAGCTTTGCGCAACCGTATAGAGTGAAATATTAAAATGAAATTTGTATGCCTCCGTCATTACATGAAATGGAAATTCTAGTCGTCTCGTCGTGTATCATTTTATACACTTGTCCCTATAATTCGGCAGTATATATTTAGTGTCTTTGGAAACCTTTGGATCTGGACTAGAATATAAAATAAGGGCTCTGTGGGTTCGAACAATCCTTTTCAGCTCAACATGAGTTTGTAATGATGGCTCTGTTGGGGTAAGCCTTTCTAATGGCATGTTGAAGGCAACCAAGATGATACTGGATTTGTAGTGGTCAAAACGCATGTTTGTTTATGGGAATACAGTAACTTGTAAAAACTCAGAGGGCATGTAAAAGACCAATAAAATCAAGTCAATTATTGGTTCCTTTTTCCTGCCCCTCTGCAGCAGGACAGTCTGATAGGAGCCAAAATGGCTGTCAGCCGCCTTCTGGCCGATGACTAAGCAGAAATCATACAGGACAGGAGCCTCCAGCCTCCCTCTGAAGCTATGACACATGTCCTTTGATTCCTACACACACGTACACTCTTTTTAGGACAGCCAGTATGATATGCTGACCTAGCGTACTGTGTATTTCATGTGTCATAGAGCCTTTTATTTCCTGCCCTCCATGACAAAAGGCCGGCTTGTGGGCCCCTTTTACACCAAACCGCCTTGGTGGTGCAAGGCATGGGCCGGTGCGTTGTGTGTGTGTGTGTGTGTGTGTGTGTGTGTGTGTGTGTGTGTGTGTGTGTGTGTGTGTGTGTGTGTGTGTGTGTGTGTGTGTGTGTGTGTGTGTGTGTGTGTGTGTGTGTGTGTGTGTGTGTGTGTGTGTGTGTGTGTGTGTGTGTGTGTGTGTGTGTGTGTGTGTGTGTGTGTGTGTGTGTGTGTGTGTGTGTGTGTGTGTGTGTGTGTGTGTGTGTGTGTGTGTGTGTAAGGGGACGTTACAGAATCACTGTTTGAACCACGATGCACATTCTGCCTTGTTGGTGACCTCATGGATCAGTAACTGACTCGCTCTTTCTGTCTTTGTCATACAGAAACTGTTCGTGATCCTCACCTTCAGCAGGCACATAGTGGAGCAGATGGTCTCCCTCATCGGGTGAGTAAGCCTCAGCGGGCATGTGTGAGTGTGTGTACGTGATGGCTTGCTCACCAAAAGTACCCTGTTGAAGTACAGCTATCTCACATGAAAGAGTTAATGCAGAACTTGACGGTTGAGGGACCTTTTCAGGTGGGCATGTGGTATTCAAGTAATTTATGTCCCTTTGTGGGAGATGGCGCCTCCTCCTTTATGTGAAGGTCACGCAGAGTCAGAGGTGGCTTTGAATTAAACATGGGGAATTTTGGAAGATGTCTTGTCTCCTTGTCCTGTTTGAAATACTATTTGGTCACATTTTGTTTTGCCTTTGGCTCCTAAGTTTGCCGATATAGCCTTCAAGGTGATTAATGGCTTGTATTTTTCCACTGGATGACTATTGGCATGTTCTAGTTGCTTCACAGGAAAGGATGAACTCTTCACGGAAACCTCCTTTCTGCTTTATCTCGCATGACGCACTGTTGCTGCAGTTTTAACCAGTCGATACCTGAGACAAAACAAAAGAAGAGGGCCTCTTTTGAGTGTCCAGATTGATCACCATGATCTAAACATTTGTGTTTTCATAAACTAAGGCCCTTCAGATTTTAAGACCTCCATTGCAAGAATTGCTAATGATTATTACCCCCATTACATTTATTTGTGCCAGTATTTGTGTTTGCCAACCTGGAAACAGCATCAGTGTGGTATTGAATTAACCGCCAGCAGCATTAAGACTGGATTTATCAGGAGGCATTTGAAACAGGCCGGTTACAAAACCAGGAAAACATTTATAAAAACCATGCAAACAAAATGTAGAAATCACACACACACACACACACACACACACACACACACACACACACACACACACACACACACACACACACACACACACACACACACACACAGAGAGACACACGCATCTTCTGGGCTTCTTGCAATTAATTCCAACAAGTTGAAAGAGCCTTGGTGCTGGGTGTGGGTGCTGATGGGTGTCATAATGGGTGTCCTTGTAGAGATGCCAGGGGTTGCAGCTGGTAACTGCCCCACACACACCTGCTGGTGGGAGTACCATTTATAACACACACACACACAACTCATACACACTTGCACACCGGTGTACTCTTTATCACACACACACACACACACACACACACACACACACACACACACACACACACACACACACACACACACACACACTTACTGAATACAGACAATGAGATTGCATCAGCTCTCGTCCTTGCCATGTTGTGTTTTGGCTTGTTTGCTTTGTTTCCATGTAACATGCAACATGTGTATTATTTATACAGACAGTACTTTATTTCTTGTTTTAATGCCACAACTATAAATATTTTTCGAATCTAGGCTAATTGATGAAGCTTACATAGCGTGTGTGTGTGTGTGTGTGTGTGTGTGTGTGTGTGTGTGTGTGTGTGTGTGTGTGTGTGTGTGTGTGTGTGTGTGTGTGTGTGTGTGTGTGTGTGTGTGTGTGTGTGTGTGTGTGTGTGTGTGTGTGTGTGTGAGAGTGAGTGAGTGTCAGTCACTGTTCATTGAGCTCCAGGCTCACGGCGACAGATCATTGGTTATTGACAGGTTTCATTCTGACTCACCGCCCACTTCTTCTCTAGAGGAAGTTTCCCTCGTGTCAACCGTCAGCTTCCTTCCTCTCAGAGGCCTTTCCACCTTCACTCTCACTCTCAATCACACATCACCTTATGAATGGGTGACAGCCTTTCAGTTTCACTCTTTAGGCTCTAACCGTGTCAGTGTTAACTATGCGTGTGCTTGAAATAAGCTTACACCTTTACACACATTTTAATGCAGGCACCTACAGTTGATACGCCGTTCACATTTTTCCTATTTATGAATGCTTTCTCAAAAGTCAGTTATACTAGTTATCAACCTTTTGATTTTGTGTGCATTTTCTTGTCACCTCAGCCACATGCAGTCAACTCATTTACTCCAATACAAATTCATAACAAATGGAAGTATATGTTTGAGTATTATGCCTTTGAAAGTTCTACATTAATAATTAATTTGTTGAGTGGTCAGATAGCTTAATAGCATCTGAGGTGTTTTTGGTTAACCCATGTGGCATGTAAGCAGCTTGTGCATCATGTGCTATATTTTTTTCTTGATGATTAAACAAAGACACAAAGTGTGTAAAAGTTATTCAGCATAACGACAACAAATATATAATTATTGTAATAAATTGTGTGAGGAACTTTATTATTTAAGCTCAGTTTGTATTAATTATTTGGCTATGGTTTTAGTAAACTGAAGGAGTAGTTTTTGTTGGTGACTGAAGTCGCTCTTGGACTTTGGACATTCTCATTCTCACATGACATACAAAGGCTGCACAATATGAGGAAAATATTGATAATGTATATATACAGTTATGCCTTCACTTTTTTTTAGTATACTGCTAAATATTTTAAAGCCATTTTAAATGGAAAAAATAAAGACATTTTTAGTTAGTTGGCACACACACACACACACACACACACACACACACACACACACACACACACACACACACACACACACACACACACACACACACACACACACACACACAGAGAAGCTGTCATCTCACGGAGCCTGTGTAATGTTTGGACTGAAAACATTTCAAATAACCACACACAGAAAATGTACTGAACACTGAAGATTTATCCTGACACTGTTGTTTTTCTATTTTATTACAGAATTGTTATCATTGTTGCTTTAATTACATTTTAAAATCATGAAATCGAAACCTCTTTTCAGCTTACAGACAAACCACACAAGAACATATTTCACTATGAGTTAATCATTACTCAAAATGTACACAAACAGGAGTTATTTTTATCTGATGAATTCTGTGAAATGCATTTTGTATTGTAACCCAAGTGTTAAAATTATAGTCAACACAAACAGTTTGGGTGATAAGAACGAAATAAATGCTTTGCCTTAATCAGGCCTTTGCTGATATGATAAAAAAGAAAACACTTAAACCCTGGCTGCTGGCTGGACGATGTATTGTGATTCTGTTCAGTGCAGCATTATAGATAAATGTTTCATTTGGCCAACATTGCTGTACAAATGACGAATAATATGTTTTTACTCAAGAACGTTTCATTAAGAAATCACTGTGTATTGCACAAAAGTGTGTATCATCATCTAGTCGTAGTATTTATGTCTTAAGCAATTCATTTTATTTCATATCCAATAGTGGGAATTTCTTGGGGATATTTCTCAAGGTTTTTCCTTTTTTTCATCGGCGGTTGACTCAGGAAAGGAGTTTTTCTGTGAATGACAAACGGAAAGTGTGTGAGTGAAATTCTGTTTCACAAGAGAGCTTTGGATCCGAGGCTCAAATGTCATCAGGCTCTACAACTGTCATCAGCCATTTTCATCACCTCTCCTAACAAAACTGACCAACCCAGGAGCTATTTTTTCAACAACTGGAAATCAAATATAGAAAAGTTGAACATAAGTGACTTCAACTTTACATTATACATTTAAGACTGTCTGATGTTCATTGAGTAAGCAAGACTGGAAAAAAAAAAAAAAAAAGGTTTTGTGGAAACATAAGTTCTGTCCTTTCACAGTTGTTCAATCTTGTTATTCCCTTTTCCACTGTTTTTCTAATTACTGTCTGTTACAAATGTCAGGCATTTCAAACTTGATATATGACTTGTTGGAGTGTATTGTGGAAACAGACTCTATATCTCTGGCAGATGGCTCTTGTTTTCCTGCCGGGCAAAGCATTTAAGGTTAAATATATGAGCTTCTGTCAGCAGTGGTGGGATAATAATAAAGATAATTTTAGCTTTGAACTGCCACAAAGTCACAATAAAACCCTGCTTGGATGCCTCTCAGGCTGATAACAGGAACTGATAAGCAGGTCGGTTGGAGCTGTGTGTGATCAGATTTGTTGGGCTTCTCTTATGTCCTGTGACTAACGTACAGATGTCTCCTCTTCAAGGCCAGCCATGCGTGTACAGTCATTGTTAAGAAGGAAGAACAATCTGCTAACTCACATTGATTAAGGCTTTGATCAAGAGGTTTCATGCTGTTATTTATTTAAGGGTTCATTTTGGAACTTTTTTTCATTTTCAGATATAAAGAAAAACCCTGCACATTATTCCCATCTTTCCTTCCAATTGTGAGATTTGATAAAACACATTTAGGATGAAAACTTAAACTGCTAAATAACATTTTCATTCACCCAGATGTTTACTTATACCCTCTCTCTAAGGAGCTCTCACTAAACACTTCACACCCTGAGAAACAATCATGACTAATGTCTTGTCTTATTCCACCTCATGCTCATTTTCTACTCTTGAGTTCCCTTCAATTTAATGTGCAAGCGAGGTCAAAAAGCCCAAAGGACTTCAGAGAACAAACAATCTTTGCTTTGGTGCTCAATATAACTTCAGGGCCACAGATTCATATTTTCCTCTGCCCAGTCCTCCCTGTCCTCCCTTGTCTTATCTCAGCTGCACGGGGTTTCTATGCCAGTGAGGTGGTGATGGAATGCAGGAAGAGCTTCAAAATCAGCCTTCGCATGCAGTAATGGAACAGGGAGCTTTCTTGTGTTTGACATGCCGTCTGGACAACCAGTCTCCACCTTTGATCTGTTGTGAGTCGCTCTGTTTAGACTAAATTACTTAGTCTGATTCCTGCCACTTTTTCAGAAGCCATATGGGAAGCGGGAAAAAAAACAAGTCTAATTATGAGAGCAGCTCTAGTGATGATTGTGTTGCTGGTGATTCACTGTCTGCAGGAGTCCAGGGTGTTTACACCTTGTCAGCGGTGACTCTGGTGTGACTGGGATTAGAGGTCTAGGAAAGCACAAAGTGTGAGGAAGAGTATGGTGCTGGGTAAGCTTGTGAGAATGTTGAAAAGAGAAGAGACAACACTTTTAAAGTTTCATCTTCCCATCATCTGGCTTTGCACTTAAGATGACTGTTCTCAGTAATCCATCCTCTTGATTGAGTCAGCCACTCGCTCTGTCTTGCATTGAGCTCCACAAATCC